ATTCAGTTGGAAATAATAGGTATCCCGATCTAAATATTTTAATAAAGTTTGTCTAACAAAACGTATAACATTAAATGTGATAAAAATTACCATATTAACTAGATATCAAGTATTGTCAATATAGGCTATAATTGTTTATAAATATATTTTTATTTATTTCTTATACGAAAAATTATAATTAACATTATTTCACTCTCTGTACAAAAATAATTAATTTTTTATACCTATACTTTAGCTGTGTAGGCTRTAATATCAATAGATATTAAATAAAGCGTCGTTATCAGTTAAATATGTACCTTTACCTATATATACCTATATGTATACACTGTATTTTAATATTATTTGTCAGAATCAATAATGAGTCAAGATAAATCACTTTCAACAAGACAGACTTCTTCAAAAATAAATTTCATAAGATAATTGATTTTTTATTTTGAACAACTGTTAAAACAAAAATCACTTTACATTATGGTAGATAGTCATAATATATGCATACACCATACAGAGCTTGTGTAATTATATTTAAATAAAATATTTTTATTGCAATTTAAATAATTTAAAAGCAGATTCAAAATTTTGAATTTTTATGAGAGATCGGCGTATGATTAAATTATAACTGTAATGCATAATATATATAATATATTTTGAATTAGGTAAACTCGAACACAAAATAAGGTATTTAAACTAAAATGTAAGCTGTAACACAATATATTATAACTGTATATTTTTTAACCAATTAAATAGTCTTTCATGAAAAACCGAGAAATGTAAAACATAAAATTAATATTGATATTATATTTTGAATATTTACACATCATTTATCTACTGGCCGCCAACAAATTTGATTAAAATACTTCTAATTAGTTTGAACTTTAACCGAAAATAAACTACTATTCGTTTTATAGTTTGTAAACTTAGATATATATTAATTTTATTATACAAAAATAATWATTATTATACTTCGATCTTTTTTATTTTCACTGCATATTTACAAATAAATAATATCAGCGTTTTTATCAATGTTTGATAATTMTTTATCGCGTACCTATRCATTTAATATACCTATATACTACTATACGGATGAATATATAGTATACAAGGTGATACATTTAAGTGTCTACTTATTATGTAGAACGATTTTAACATTTTTGAAAATAATATTTTAAATAATTAATTAAAGTATCATTGCAAAACATATTTATTATTAATTTTTAATCATATTTTTATATTCTTTTAAGTTTTTGCCTTTTTGAATGACAAAATACATTTTTAATTTCATACACCAATATGCAGAATAATTTTCAGATTATTTCAAAACATACGATCAAATTTTGAATACCTAAATATTAGTCATAACTTATAAGTATTTTAAGTTTCGAGAAGCGAAGCTGTGAACCTGCATTTTTCAAAGTACCCCTGTGCATCGCACTCCGTTATTCCACTCATCAAAACTAATTTCAAGTAATAACTAATTAAATATTCGTTTAAAATTCATTTTGTATGTATCATAATACTCACAAAAAATAACTTGCTTTGATATATGAAACTAAAAATGTACTTCGTTAAGGAAAAAATTAAGAAACTAAATAATAACTCTTAAAATTGTATAAACATAATTTATTTTTAAAAATGATGTTTTGCAATGAAATTAAATTACTTATGTAAAATGCTTAAATGCTCCACCTTGTAAAGACTATAATAATAATTAATGGGCGTCAAAAAATTATGTGAATGGTATATACGTATACCATATACCTACTTGAATAAAAATGATTTATTATTATAAACCAAGCATAAATGTAAAAAAAAATTAGGAAAACCACTCATCACGAGCACTTTAATTGATATTATTCCCCAGTTTTTTTTCATATACCATAGTTTAATATTTAATAATTTTATTATTATTATATTATGTAAAATTATATAAACAATTATTTTACAGTAAAAAAGTAATGAATAACATTAAATTGTCATGATTCTTGAGTGCAGAAATCGTCAGCGTTGAGTGGTTGAATTTAGTCGCTTATCAAAAGATCCAAACACTATTTACGTTTAAATGTCTCTAGWGGTTACCTAGAATATCACAGATAGGTAAATAGTATTTAGTTAGAGAATTGAGTCAGGTAATTGGTTGGACTAAATTGGAAACATTTAATTATATATTTTATAAATCGAAAATTAAATATATCTATTATTATTAATTAATGTTATGTGTATTGCCTTTTAAAATTAAATACATTCAAATAAACATTACTAAACGGTATAATCGCATTGAAACTACACTAATTAAAATAGATAACGTTTAGAATGATTTAGTATTTTAGTTATCATTGTTTTATATTAGTAGGTATATAAAAGTTTAGCAAATGTTCTAAATAATTGAAGAATTTTTTTAATAAATAAAATTTAATAAAGAATGTGTATGGCCTAAAAAAATTTAATAATAAGTACTTGTAAGTTACAATAATAACAAATATCAAATAAAAATTATAAATTATTAATAACATAAGCAAAATCTGATGGTTAAATAACCACGCAAATATTTAACTGAGGTGTAATAGTGTTTTTTATTGTTTCTCTTTCATAAGTAAAAATTAAATTTATTAMTGATTTATGTATACGGGTTTTTTTTGTAGTACGTACCTGTAAGTTTTTGATCTTTGTATTTTTATACTTTTTGTTTTAATATTTGAATCTTGACTATTACTAACTAACAACTATAATACTTACTGGTATATTTTTTAGGAGGAAGGTAAAGCACCTATACTTTATAGATTTTTAGTTTTACCACAGATTACGTCTATGGATAACAACGTCGAGGTCAGTCCGACTTATTCATTATCTTAATGTCAAATATTTAAAGATCATTTTGTGCAAGAAAAACGTATAAGCATATATTTTAATATACAGGATGATGATTTATATACAATGTAGATGCTTAAGTATTAAACCTTGTTTTATTTTATCCTCGCTTAACTCAGCAATTATTGGATTAACGCCYCGTGGCACATAAACCTTTAATAGCTTAATCCKGTCACTAATGAAAAGGTAATGCCAATTCATATCTAGCAATATAAAAGTTAATGTTAAACTCAAAGTATTTCTAATGGAAATACAAGAAATTGAAGAAACTAATCAAAATATAGTGAACTTGAAATTAAATTTCACATAGGTAGTTCATTTTTCGAATGCAACGATTTATCAATGTTTTGAAATCCACCCCCATGGCCCACTCATAACCTAGTTTTTCATATCCCATCTGGATTTTATTGACACTATGTGACAAACATAACACTCACATAATGTGTTTTTTTTTTAAACACAATGAATACTAAATTCATTAGTAAACACGAGGCTAAATTTCTATTTAGTATTTCGTGGCTCATGGGGGATAATCTTATTAGTTAGTAAAAAGTTTGTTCGAAAGAATAATAACTTAAAAATTTAAATCTGTTCAAAGTTCACAATATTATTTAATGGTGACTATTTTTCAAGCAATTCACAGAAAAACTTTTCGGGCATTGTTTTATTTATAATATTTATATATATTTGTAAAWATTATACAAGTTCATAGATTAGAAATATAATCATATAATAATAAAAATGTCCAAAAATTAAATCCTATACATTTCAAAAAAATAGAAAATACCCAAAAGAATTTATAATATTTATAATATAAAAATATAAAAATTATTAATAAATAATAATATTATTATCATTAATTAATAATATTTTACCCAAAATATAAATACTAACGTCAATAATATTCAAATAAAAAATTGCTGTTTGTAATTTTTTGTATATTCCCCAAACTATTATAGAACAAATATTAGGTATACAGGTATGAATAAAGGAAATAATACATATAGTTGGGAAATTGTTTTATAAATGATTCTAAAACAACCATTAAATTGACAACGCATATAATTATCATAGCATTGAAATATATAAAAAAAAATTAATTGCAAATAACGAGTGTCCTATGAATTAGATTTTAATACTCATGTAGTTATAGCATGTAAAAATAAATAAAATATGTTTCTTTCATACATTTTAATATAATATATTTCTTATAACACTAATGTAGTATAATTAAGAACCAAGTAGGTACATATTATTATGTATATTATATTTGTATATACATWGGTAAAATAAAGTACAACAAAATAATGTACCTATCACACATATTATATTATGAGCTTTATTACGAATACAATATTTTAGTATTTTACCTACTACATAATCAATAATTTATATATTATTCAATTATTAGACTACATTACATTTTTGAACTTTCAAAGTTTTTTTGTTAAGACTTGAATTTAACCAAATTCGAATGTTAAATATAGGTACGATGGATATTTTGAAAAAAAAACCTTGACTCATTAATGTGGTCTCGTAGTATATAATACTAAAGGTTTTTGAAAACATTCAGAATGTTTTTAAAATCGTTTTTCATGTTATAACGTTTTCTACTTAGCATAACCATAACATAATACCAAAACAAAATATAAATAACATCGTCTTCCTTCGAAGCGTAAGACATTATGTAAAACAGCTATAGAGCATCAGTCGGAGCATCTATATTCCATAATCTATACACTATACTGTATAATATACTAGAAGTCGTTTGGTAGAAACCGGTAGAAAAATGTTACTTTCGCCGGAGACCTGCAGGTACGACCTACCATCTATTAAATACAACGTGTTTGTGTTATTTATATTACGTTGTTGTGTACAACCAAAATATATTATATTATATTATTATAATATGTTGGTAAAGGGTATACAGGCTGCATCAAGAAGCTACGAAAATAATATTTTCTCGTCGAATTTATGTATCACTTATTTGTAATGCATTAGTATAGGTAGGACAGGTAGGTATGTAAATATTATGAATGTACGTCGTATGATGGGTAGCTGGTATAGGTGAGGTACCTTACCTACACACATTGATAGACAATCATGGGTTGGCACTGTTGGCAGTACGGTGAGAGTGTTCGAACCGCGATCGCGTTATACTGTTGCGCTGTCCAGATAACGACGGCGGCGTGCGGCGGTCGATCATCATCATCATCATCATATCATATTATTATTAAACGTCGCTTCTGCGATAAACAGGAAATAACAATTATTATAATATATTATAATCATCAGAATTACTATTATTATTATTATTATTATTATTACTACGTATATACTATTATTAATACAAAATTAAACCGCGTGATATCACCGTGTGTAGTGCAACATAAAATACTGTTCACGGCGGTTAGATGGCCGTCAGTCGCAGTGCTTAATCGTATTATATATGTGTGTGGCGGTCATAAACGTGGAACACCGAACCGCCACAGTCGTTATTTACCGAAATCCAACACTATAAAATATTATAATGTACTAAAATATTATTATTATTATTTTTATTGTCGTCGTCGTCGTCGTCAAGGTGTGTATACAAGTTTCAAAAAAAATACTCTGCGATCCGATTATATATTGTTACGAACGAACAATATAATGAACAATAACAATAACTATAATTATTATTTTTGTAGTTCACGAATGTCAAAGACAACGAAAAAAACACAAGAAACTAGGAAAAATCTTGTGGATCGAATAAAATCTGACGACGGTCATCGTTCTGAATAGCCACGCCACACAAAACTATTTAGTACGAAAATAAGTAAGTGTTACTTAGATACTTGATAACATTTAAAGACAATTTTCAGTACAAGATAATACTTTTTTTTCAATAAAAACAMCACAAAAACCAAAACAATACCTACTCCAATTTTGTAGGACACACACATATACAATATTATACATTGTATTTAAAAATTAAATTTAAAATAATAATTTTTTCCTGTATAATTTATGCATATATAGTATTGCAATATAATATAACGTACTTATATACACATTATAGACATATTATATTATTTGCTCAATGGCTGTTGCACCTTTCACATACTTCCAAACATAATATTATTAAAAACAACAAATCTCATACGAATGCTGTTATTGTTTTAATATTGTTAGTAGCATTTTGTTATAACTGCCTTGTGGGTATAGACGATTTCATACATGGGCTTGTGTAGACTCTGCTCGCGTTTGCATATATTTAGAATACACTTTTGTTATAATATATGCGCGAGTACGATGCGCGTTTAGTAGTTTTTAATTTCATAAGTAATTCATATTTTATTCATAAAAAATTCATACACCAATAGGTCGAGTGGAATCGCTGCTGCAACTGCACATGTCGCCGTCGATTTCTCTCATTTACCATTTCACCGAACGTAACTATTATGATATAATAGACTTCCGGTCCTGCACGGTTATTGTTATTTCAGCGCTGCGCAATATTATCGCATCTGTGTACATATTCGCGCGTTCAAATATTTAAACGACATTGACAAAGTGCAGCGCAAAGTTTAACAACAATACGAAGCTAAAATAATTAATTAATCACGATCCGGTAAAATCAACATTGCGATGGCGTACACTATCCACTATGGCATTAAAGTCGCAGGCTTGCGTAGTGGCGTGTAGTACGATAGAAGTTTTCCTTTAAATTGTAGTGCTGTGGGCAGGACGAACACTACGTCTTGCACTAAATTTATCGTTATTTTAAAAATACATAATATATTATGTACGAGAAATCCAGACAAATAGATCTCACGCGTGAACTATTCGGGCGGATGGCTTTGGTCCTTAGTTACCTATATAATACTATAGATTTATGTATACGTCGATTTTATGCTATATTTTAGGTTTTTTCGAATTTCCCATACTAGGAATCTCGAAATGTTAGCAAAAAGTTTAAATCTACAGACATTTATCAAAACCATGTTGGTTGTTAAAAAAATTGCATCTATTACAATTTTATTTTTAACTTTAGATATACGTAGGTACAAATGTTTAATATGATAACAAATATTAATCATTATTACATAGTATTAAAATAACGTCAAATAAACACAAAATATTTATTACTACACTATTTTTCAATCCAGAACTCGATGAATAAGTCACGTTTAAAATATTATATGAAAATTTAATAACGAATAATATTATATACAAAAAGTAAAACTACAAAGTATTTTATTGTACCTACTTTATCTGTATTATTAGATGCGTTTCCAAAATTTCCATTACTCTCTATATAATATAATATAGCATAACGTACTAACTAACTAACAATTTAAAGTCTAAATAACATGTAGGAACAAGCCAATATACTGTATAAACCGCGTCAATTGTTTGAAAAACCAATTTCATATTTTATTTATTGGCGAAGGCAAATGTTTTAATCTGCACCGTAAATACTGTCACGATTCATCATTGAACAGTATAATTATTCATTTTTCATTTTTTTTTTTATTTGCTCAGCAGCACTCGTTTATTTGAACACTACGCTTGAAAAAAATATCGAACTGCGTAGATATGGTCAACTGCGAAAACGGATATGATAACTCTGCGTGTTACCCAAATGACTATGTCGGTGTAACACAGATACCGTCGATCGAAATGGACCGTGTGACCGATACCAGAATGAATGAAGTCGTCGTGACCGGATGCTGCGGTAGTGGTCTGAACGGGAATAGCAATCATCAGTCAGGCGATCAGTCTCCTGAAAAAGGCTCGCCGGACGTATGTCAGCCCAAATGCCCAGCGGTCAGACCAACGCCCTGGGACCCAATAAAAACGCGGTTTGTGGCCGTCTTAACCATAGCCATAATCGCGTGGGCACTGATTGGCGTTTTTGTCAAAAACCTGTAAAATACGAAAAATTATTGAAATCCTATAAATACTCAATCAATAATATTGAATTTTAAACATGTCCAACTATATTATTTTCACATTTATCTATATCTTATAGTATCTATGATGATATAATTTATGTAATGTAACATACGATTCTGTTCGATTAGTTATTAATGTATCTTGATGAATAAATATGGCCACGCTGCTACTCTACTTGACTTACCCTATAAATTATCACATATAATCATAATATTATTATGTTGTATCGATATTTTGAGAATTGTTTGCACCACAATTGTACGTACAATTATTACATTTCTAATAGTTTATGAAAGTATAAATAATGTATGTTTGTGATGATAATATTATATTATACAGATTAATATTGTTTTCAAAATACCTAAATAAAAAGTTATGCTAAAAATGAATTGTATTTATTGATGTTATATGTTAAAAACTTTCAATGAAAGTGTTTGACATCAAAATAAATAAATATTATATATATGATGTACAATGTAAATAAACACAATATTTTATTATTTTAGTGTCGATCGATCATGTTTGTTGTTATAACCTTATAATACCTACGCAGAAAATACTAGTACAAAACTGTCAAAACTGATATCTATATTACAGGGTTTATTTTAAAAATATGTTTATAAATCTCCAAAAGTTTATTTTTTTATAATATTTACGACTAATTTACGTTGTATATTTTAGCACGATCTATTAACAAAAAACTACATAATAATGAATGTATTTTAAAATTTTTTTACTGCATATTTTTGCATATTCTTAAGCATTTTAATTTATACTCGACGGTTTAATTTTAACCTATTTTTAGCAAATTCATAACTTTTTTATATTAACAACGTAACCTAGGTCATCTACTATCATCAGTTTATTCTCTGTTGTCTCAAGTCGTGAACACATTTTAATTAAGCTTTAATTTAAATTATTATTCACACAGTGGATTATTATATTAATTCCCAGATTATTGATAGTGAAATCGAAATGAATATTGTAATGAAAATAAAATAAATAAATAGATTAAAAACGGCTGTAATTCCAGTCAATTATTTATATACTTTTAAGTGCTAAAAAGCACTTTAAAGACTTAAAAAAGCCTTTATTGTTTTGAGAGAACGCCAAACGCTCATGAATGTCTCTGTCTTACAAACGTGCAATAAAACAAATTTGAATTTTAAGTCCACAATACGAAAAGTGGCCCTGGACCGTCACGAACCTGACGGCCGTTTCATCTCGGTGGATTCCGATGTGCGTGGCACGGCAACAGCCACGCCGCAAGCAATAACAAACGGTATAGATTGAGAACCCATAGCTATCGGGTAGAGTAAGCAATATGGGTCGCGGTACTCAAGGATCACTTTTTATGTCACGGACTTTAGCGAAACCATTGTGTTGTAAACTTTAATATTATAATGCATTTATACATTGTTAAATTTAAAGTAATAATATAATCTAGAACACCTGGTAGATTTGTGTTGATATTTTAATTTTAAAGTGAATTAACAGTACTTAAAAATTATTATATTTTACATACATATATAGTAAATAGTTACAATTCATTATAAATTAAATTAAAATAATAAGATAAACCCTAGATTTTGTTACCTTTAAGTTCAGAAGAACAACCGGGATTTTTTCAAGGGGTGGGGTCCAAGAAGGCAAGAACTATAAATCTGTTGCTATCGTAATATATAAGAAATACTGCAAATATAAGTATTTTATATATAAACGCAAAAATTAATCACTAGTCTAAAATAAGAAAAATGTTATCAACAACTGTTATTAAAATCACCACATTATTAAACTTACAAATATTATGTTAAAATTTTGATTATTGATTATTCTTGATACACCAAGGGCAAATGGGGTGTCCAGATCTGGAGTCCACCACATTTTGCGTTACACAACTTCAATTTGAAAATAGGTAGATACATGCATTATATTTTTAAAATCAACAACGTTTATTAATTATTAAGCTTATTGTATACATCTGGATTCGGTGTCCTTTATATGACGTGTTCTCAACCTGGGGGGCGTGGTCCTTAAGGAGGTGTGAAAATTTTTTTAAAAAAACAGGAAAAATGAAAACGTTGCTGTTTTCTACGCCGTGCATTTCAGCCGGTGTGTTGATCACCTAGTGAAGGCGTGAACTCATAAAATAGTTTGAAAGGGGGCGTGGACCTCAAAAGGTTGAGAACCCATGCTCTATATATTTCTAAAAACTACAAAGTTGTCCAGCGGCACAATTAAAAAATAATTTCGAGATGAGTAACATTGTTTCAATATAAATAAGAGATAAAGTATGATGGTAACAAAAAAGCAGAATTTAGCCCCAAACTCCCCGCCTGATAACGCCACGGGCGTTGTCAGAACATTTAATAAACTTAAACAAAAAATCATTGTGCTAACATTTTCGTATTAAACCATAATATGATTATAAATATTATGTTTCTACTACGGAAGTCACATTTTTTTAAATTAAATTTATTGTTTTACCATAAAATCATCGCTCTTTTTGAGTAATTTGCTTACATTCCTTTTAGCAACTTACCTAGCTGTAGTATGGTTAATGATAAACGTAGTTGAAATTACAAGTGTATCTATATATAATTATAGTTACTTAACATATTTTATCCGCTTTATTTGTTAATTTGAAACAAAATATATAACTTACACTGTTTTATAATAAATACTATTATAGTTCTTCAATCTTAATTTTTATGATAAGCAAGAAGATAATGGATTTAATACCGTTTTCGTCGAGTTTAAGATCAATACAGTGTGTTTTTGTAAGATAATGTTTTATTTTATTTTTAATTTATAACTTATATTTCTGACACTGAATTATATTTATTATATCGCCAAAAAAATATCTTCAACTGAAATTACTGAGTTAATTTTCTTACAATTTTAATCTCTATGCCTCTATGGTAGATATGTCAAATTGAAGTCGATATCTATAATATTAGGAATTTATGTCTTTTATATTCTGTATTAATATCTTATCATTGTAAGAGGTTTCAATTTTGATGTTTGAATTGAAATTAATTMGAAAATAAAACAGTTCAGACCAAAAATTCTATGAAAATCGATTTGCAATCCTATAAAATTGACTACACCTTTTAAATGGATAGGTGCAAATATTCTTATATGTAAATTTAGTGGTATCAGAAAACTCCTGACTTAAATTTGTTTGTTAATTATCATCACTCATCAATATCATAGATAGTAACTATAGAATCGGTACCAGTTGGGATGACAGTAACGTAGTGGTTGCGAGTGATAAGTAACATGGATTTCTTTAGGTTTTGAACTGGTGGTAATTGTCATGGGGTTAACGAAGAAATGTGTACTGTGTATTCTCTTATATTTATAAAACTAGACTGAATTATAATGTTAACATTATTTTAATAATTGTATTGTTATAAGGGCTTTTGAATGGTCAATACTCAATATTTAGGCAATATGAAATTTCATCGCCGAATTCGGTGCCATTGATGTTAATTCGTAAATAGTGATTAGTGTGAGTGTAAATATACAACTCCCGGGCTAGGTACCTGATCTACGGTGTATTTAATATTTATTATAATAAATCCTTCACCTTGCTATCAGTGACGTATTTATGGGAGGAGGATGCGGGATATATTCCCTGTGACCTTTTTTTCTATTTTACATGGTTGTGTATGTTCAGACGAATATTTCTTTAATATTATTAGAAACATTTTTTAGTTTACTATATTATTTAACAGTTAGTGTACTTTTAGCTGTTAAAGAAAACGCAACACATACATTTCATACATAATAAGGGTTAAAACACGTTCACGCTCTATGCATACTGATTCCTTTGTATTAATCGTGTTCATAAAAATACAATTATTACTGATTTCAGTTAAAACGATGAGTAGATTAAAATAATGTAATAAATTTATAACAAATAATAAATTTCAAGTAAGTAACATACCTACTGGCTACTAATATGTATGTAGTATAATATCTTATATGTATATGTTAGTACAATGTTGGTAACGTATTAATGATATAGAAAAATTATTATAATTTAAAGCAAAATATCGAGTAGAGAGTGTGAGGGGCAAAGATCCCCTTGAGTTAGTGAATACTGGATAAATTCATATCCCTCTCCTCAGGAAAATTCTATATACGCCTCTGATAGCGCTGCTGTTAAATATGTCAACAGTTCTCATCGATAAAAAGACGCTCTACGTGAAAATTTCTCACAACTCGTAGAGTGGTCTGATTTAAATATTTATTAATTGGTTAGAAAAATGATAATTTTGATGAGAGCGTATTGGACGTCGATTTTTTATTTCGTCGTTTAATACAAAAATAATTTAAAATAACTATAAAGTTTATGAAAATTATTGCCTATTGGTCATATTCAAAATTGTATTAAATGGCTTACAAATATAATTTTGAAAATCCAAATCCAACACGTAATGCAAGAAGTATTTCTTTTCTCTTTCAAAAATAAAAAAAAAATATCAAAATCGAATTACTCTACGAGGTACGGGAGTATTTCCTGTATGTCACGTTGTAGGGAAAAATTTGTGAGTGTGCAGATCTCTTAACGATTTTATTAGGTGTATAGTTAAATTGATAATTTTCTATGCCATAATTGTACCAATATCTTAGTTGGATGCAAAAGTCGTATAAGTGAGCAGCACCAGAAGTTGATAGTTAATGAACTGTGGTTGGTTATTAACTAATTAATCATGTTTCTTTTTTTCTTCGTGGTGTAGATGTCAAACTAAAATCCAAGTCCATTTAGTCGAAAACTAGTGCTGCGTGCCTGCATATATAGTCACGTTTTCTCTTTGTTTTTTTGTTAGTTTCACATTTTTATTTTTTTTTTTATGAAAAGCAATGGGAATTTCTTACGTCCCAGTAATCAAACTCAAAGTTGAAGTTTAAAGCAAATTATCTACTCCAATACACACTCAGGTCATTATATATCCAATAATTTTCTAGCTTAAAACCTAAAAATAACTGTATACGAATATACAAATTTTAGTTTTCAACAGTAAAATTAAATATTATACATAGATGAAAATACTATTTTATTGATATTCATAAAATTTTGGATAATATTTTGAAAATGTAATATGATTGATTGGTGCTCTCTAAATCCAAACTAATTTAATTAATAATCTAATCAATTTAATTGGTAATTTTTATAATTATAAATTATGCTAATATGAACATAACTATATTTTATACGTTGTATGAGAACGTTGTGATTCTATTTAATAGTTGATGAATAAAACTATTCTTACTCCCTAGTATTCTTGTTTAAGCAAGAATTATTAAATCAGAAATAAATGTGGCATAATGAATTGTTTGAAAAATTAATACATTTTACTCTGAGTTTTTTAATATATAAAATGTGTATAAATATAATATTTTTAATATTAATTGTAACGATTATTAATATTTTAAGCTACGATATCCTTAAAAAAGGATTCATACTCATTCATAATTTTTATTTCTGTTCAAAGCGCTAAAATAAAGTTTATCAAGTAGGAGCTTTTTTAATATTTAACATTGCGGTAATATACAGATTTTATTATCCTTGCACCATTTTAAATTAGTAAATATTTCTGGATCTGGAACAATTATATAATTTTAAATAAGATCAAAAATATTTCAATATATACAAATAATATATTATAATAACAATAATTAGTTAACACAAGATATCATAAAAGTTTACAATTATAATTCCGTAGAAGCACTATACTTGGAGAAATTGTGTTACTTGAAGAATAATTTATATTTTTTAGTTTACTAGAGGCACAGCAGTAGTTGTATGATAATACAATTTTTATTACCTATCTACACAACATTTTTATTAAAACCCTGCTTCCTTTTGATTCATGTTCTAAGTTAAGCTAATGAATATTTTTAATAATTAAAAAGTAGTATGAACCACATTTCTAAGAAACTTAGATAATGACACATCAATTTTTTTTTATAATACATGATTAAAAATTGTTTTGGTATAGATATTATGTGTAGTTTCTATTTATAAGCCAAATTACTAAAACTTTAAAAGTTACAGTTACTTTTTGAACTAAACGTAACTTATGAGTCTTCTCACTATAATTAATTATTGTTAATTTTATTTTAGATATTATGAAGTATTTATACTAAAGATAATGACTGAACCACCAATCACATATTTTGTTGGCTATATAAAAATAATATAAAATCAAATATGTGAGTTTGAACGTTACTTAAGAACTTATTTATGTATTTAAAGTAAGACTAAACTTTTGCAACTAAAATCATAACTCTACATGACCGTTGTTATGAAGATAAAGGTACCTACTACGTTAAAGTAAAAATTTGGACCAAGTATGGCACTTCTACGAAACTACGACAAAGCGGAAACTTATTAATTATAATTATCGATATTTAGTGTTCATAAAAATATATATAAATAAAAAATAAAATATCATAGGTGTATAAAAATAAATTGCTTAAATTCATAAGGTATTTTTTTTTTTAAATAAAATATACATATAATAAATTGTTTAATTATATGGTAAAATGAAAAAATCTAAAGAGGTATAAAAAAGTAAGTAAAAAATCACAATATTTCTGATCGAATAGTTTTGTCATACAATTGAATTTACTTTCAGCAGTTGTTTGACTAGAGTTATACGTTGTATAAAATGATTAAATTATGATTCACATCGAAGAAATAGTACCTATAACTTTAAAATTTATAAATTATTTTAAATTAAGTATTTAAAAAAATAATATAAAAATAATAAATGAGCGAATATTATTATGTACACAGTAATACTTTTAATTTATTACTAGAAATTCTAAATAGGCATCAACCTCAATGGCAACTGAAAATTACGTTTTAGAAACAAATAAAAAATATTTATTAAAAATCGGTGTCGTAGTCGGGGTGATACTGCTGAGGTGGTTTCCTCGGTCCAGTAGTATAAGAAGCGTTAGGATTATGATGAGAGCTTGCATAATGATGATGTGATCGTGGATTTGAAACAGACGTAGCTTCTCGGTGATAATGTCGTCTCTCAGCTCCGTAACCACTTGGATCTGTGCCGTAACCATAACCACTACCACCAGTATAATATCCAGTTTGAACTGGTGTTAATGTCTGAGGTGATAGCGCGGTTGACCGCCAACTATCATAGTGCCCATTATGTTGTGTATCTCGATGCTGTAATTAATACATTTTTATTAGACACATATACAACAAATAATAATTTAAAACTGCATTGTATAAATATTTTATTAACAGTAAGCTCAAACCTTTTTCCCTGCAATATTTGATGGAACTTTGACTTTTTCATGGTCATGGTCGGACCAAACCGCATSCATATCGTACAATCGATCCACGTCTTCCAAATCGTCTTCATCTAATATCATCATGTCATCATCAATCGCATAATTATCATAACCATATGAACTAATATTATAGTTGGAATTGGAATGGGACGGTGGATGATGCATCATATGACGACTTCCAGTAGTTGGACCATTTTTACCCGTGCCATAAATATGTTGATTTTGGTCATCAGACATCATGGATGTTTGTAGAGTGGGTGGAGGTACTTTTTTATTGTTTTTATTACGACTTACGAGCTGTAAAATGTATTAAGACAATATTAAAACGTTGATATTTCCTTAATATAATATTTAAAAAATATGTAAATACCACTGTTATGCCAAATATTAAAACAAAAAGTAATGAAGCAAGGCCAATAACCATGACAGCTACAGCCCATTGTGGTAACCATGCATCATCAGTTCCAGCGGTTGCTATCACACTTCTGGTAGGTTTAGGCAATACTGATAAAAAAATAATAATAATAATAATAATAATAAATATTAGTTATACTATGATAAACGATATTACGGAATTTTTATTTACCAATAAAATCTGTACGTGCTGGATCAACAGTAAACCTTCCTAATTTTAAATAAAGCCCTTCATAATCACCACTATTCCCGTATTGTAATGGTTGTGCGGAAGATCCTAGATTTCCTTCTTTTTGTAATGTTTCATGAAATAGACGCCGAATGTCAGCGGTACTAACTGTACGTCCCAGTTGATTGAGCTGTACGAAGAAATCAACAAGAATCCCAGCATTTTTATCAGGTTTTCCATTGCTGATTGCATTACTTCCAGGACTAGTACACAAATTTAAATTATTTGTTGAAATAACTCAACATTTTTTATATAATTTGGTAAGTTACTAATAATGATAAATGATTATATACCTACATAACAATTTATCATTTTATTTTAATATAGACTTATTAAGTTTTAAGTTAAATTAATCAGCAACTAAAATATTTTAAAAACTTTAACTGAAATAAATATTAAATTTGAATTAATTTAGAACTTAATCACGCTATAATTTTTATCACGAGTAATCAATTAAATATAAATAAAAAACTAGTCTTTATTACTTTAATTATTATACCTTTATTTTTTTATATATTAAAATAATATTTATGTTAATAGTTAACACCTAAAACTTTTTTACAATTTGTTTACTTGAACATAATTTATAGACATACCTGAATGAATCGATGGTTATTGTCTTATACCATTTGCTCAATGCAGGTGATTTACTGTATACTTTATCTAGCTATAAAATTAATTTAAAAATGTAAGATATTTATTCTATAGTAATATTTAATTAATATTATATATTTACTTGAGTTTCAATTTCACTAGCTAGTAACCTCCATTCTGCAGTATTGTGGTCTAATAACTCGGGTACCCATTTCTCTGATCCAGAACCAACTATTCGCACTGTTCCAACAAGTTCACATACTGAATCACTTTCAGAACATTGGCCGGGTGTTGTTGTGGGAGGTGGTTTCATAGTAGTTGTTGTTGTAGTCGTTGTAGTGCTAGTAGTTGGCTCTAGAGTAGATGTCATAGCAGCTAATTCAGCTGCTTTAGACTGTAGTAATAATTTTTCGATAGATAATGGAGTTGTTGATGGAGTAGACCAGCCAGTAAACTCAGTTACAACCCTGAAAATTTGATTGAATTGTATTTATTTAAGTACAACATAAAACAAACAAACAACTTTAAATTATTAAATATAAATTATAATTACCTAACTGGCCATCCCTTCTGAATAGTGGGTGCCACAGTAACTGCAGCTTGCATTTTTTTACTTGAAGGTAATGGTTTCCTGGTTCCAGAGCTATTTGTTCCTTTTCCACTATTGGGGAAAACTATTCCTGATGTACTGCTAGTGATCGTTGTTGTTGTCGTTGTTGTTGTTGTTGGAGTAGTTGACGGAACGTCGGTCGTTGGAACAAATGTTGTCATAACCGATTCTTGATCTTTGTTTTTATTAGAGATTTCAACATTTTCAGTTGGTAGTTTAAATCCTGGTGGTAATAAAGAAGGAGACAAAACTTCGACTGGTTTAATAGCATCTTCTAATTTAAATCCTGGTGGTAAAAGTGAAGCTAATGCCGATGAATCATCAACAAATTTAATGTTCAAACCCGATGATTTTGCTTTTACTGTAGTTGTACTGGGTGTAGTATTAGTAGAAATACTACTACTACTACTACTAATATTAGTATTTTTTGGTTGAAGGCTACTAATATTATTAGTAACTGGAGGTGGTATTTCAGTTGTAGATGTGGTTGTAATAGTCTTAGATTTATAAGCTGGAGGTGGCTTTGGGCTAAATCCAGCTGGAAGTAATCCACTAGTTAATAAATCATCAAACTTAACAGAATCTATTAAGCTTTTTTTCTTTGCCGGTTTGACTGTGCTAGTTGTAGTAATAGAAGATACAGTAGAAGTTCTCTGTTTTGAAGGTACGAATTTTCGAACAAATGTTGTTTCTTTATCAGAGTCATCAGATTCTTCTTCTTTTTCTTCTTCTTCTTTATCCTCATTCTCGTCTTCTTCTTCTTTTTCAGATTTTGTAGTAGTACTACTAGGAGAACTGGTAGTACTAGAAGACATAGTAGTGCTAGAAGACATGGTAGTGCTAGAAATGCTAGAAGTGACATTGTTACTTGTAGTAATTGGTGGGCTCATCGTGCTTGTTAGAGTCTTAGTTGTTTTTTCAGTGGCCGAAGTTTTAAACGATGATATAATTTCATCATTTCGTTTATCATCGTTATTACCACTACTCTGCATATCCGTCAAAATACGGCTGCCATTATTTGTATTTGAAGAGCTACCATACAATATACCATTTGAAAGTTCCGATTGAACTCTATCTAATTTATCAATAATACTTTCTACTGTTGTTGTGCTAGTAGTTGTTATAGCAGGTTTGTTATTAAACCTGTGTTTAGTTGTAGGACTAGGTGCTGTTGACGTAATTGACTCTTGGGCAGTATTATTCTTATTTGTTCCACCCCCTACCATTGATGACGATGATGAGACTGATCTACTAGTTTGTACACTTGCGACTACAACCCAACTTTCAGTAGTTGCTATTGAACTATTATTATCTTTTTTATTTATTGTTACCGCAGACGATTGATTTACCAATGGAAGTTTGGTCTGTTTTTTATTTAATGGTAATTCAGTTGTTGTATAAGATGTGGTTGTGTGTTCTATATCCTCATATTCTTCATATTCGTCTACTATTTGATGTTCTGTAGTTGTTTTAGGAGCTACTGTAGTAGTACTTGTTGTTGTTGTTGTTGGTTTTCTAGTAGTTATGCTTTGAATTATTGCTGGATTGTTCACAATTTTTTTCATTCGTTGTTGTTGTTGTGGAATCAAAGTCGTTAAAGAATTTATTCTTGGTCTCAAAGCAGATCTCAGTGTAGTAATTGGAACTGGAGGTGGTTGTGTTGTTGTTGTGGACTTTCGTGGTTGGAATTGATGCTTCTCTCCAACAGTTTGTTCTACTTCGTCTTCCTCTTCTTGTTCATAATCTAAAGTATTCATAGTAGTAGTGGTTGTAGAAAACAAAGAAGATTTTCTACTTCTTACAGTAGTTGGTTGTTGTCTATTAACTGCCCCAGATAATGCTGAAGGTTGCTGGGGCGCAGATCGTATGGTGGTAGAAGAAGATGCTACAGCAGATAATGGACTAAATGTGGTAGGCCGCCGATTTATCACCGAACCTGAAACTACTGCAGGTTGGTTTCTATTGCGAAAAGCAGATGGTCCAGATTGTGGCCTATGTGTAGTGACTATTGGTTGAGACCACGATGATCGATCATCATTCTCATCATGTATCACGGTAAATCCAATGGCCGCTGGTTCTTGATGTTCTTCTAGGTTAACAATTGAAGATGGCTCTGGTGTAGTTATGGGTCTTCGCTTAGCTTGTTGCGGTTGACCACGTCCACGTTTTGGTGGCTGGTTTTGTCTTTGATGAACTAATTCTTCTGCATCGTCTTTTGTGTTAATTCCATCTACCGTGTCGTCACCATTTACAACCACTGATTCTACCTCAGCCGTTGTGGGATTCCACCATCTAATGGGTCCTGTAGATGGTGTGTTTCTAGAAACTGGTATAACTCCATTATTTTGAGACAAAGGACGACGAGAAGAATCACTATTGAAATTTTCTTGGCTCGATTGTTGCAATATTAACGAGGGCTGTGCACTTTGATGTTCATCAAAGTTTTCAGTGGAATCTGATTGTTCCGTACGTTGTTGTTGTAAAACAGGTCGAAATCGTTGTTGTTGAGAATTACTTGGGAAAAAATTAAACTGCTGTTGTGTTGATGGTTGTTGTTGTTGTGATGGTGGACGTTGTGGTGCTTGTTGGAAGAAAGACGGCGGTGAAACTGCATCAACGAAACCTAAAGAACCAGAATTTCTAAGTGGTTGAAACTGTGTTTGCTGTCCGTTTAAAATAAACGGTTGAACATTCGGTGGTCGTGAAAATGGTCCAGAATTTGTAAATGTTCCTGGTGGAAGCTGTTGTTGAGATGAAAAAAAACTCGATGAACTAGGATTAGGTAGTGGTAAACCGTTAGCAGAAGATAATCTACGTTGAGGAAAATTCAGGTCATCACTATTTGTATCTTCCTGAAATTGTACTCGAGGTAAAGGGAAATTTCCATTATTGGACGAAGTGGAAAAGAATCTCTGCTGCTGACCTATAAACATAAAACATTTATATTATTTTATTCCCGTTAATAGAACAATCGTGATAATTTTAATTTCTAAACAATAGCATATAACAATGGAAAAAACGTAGTTGACATTTTAAGTATGTGTATAAAACATATTGGTCAGTTACTCAGTTATAATAAAGTTATAGGTCACATCATAACATTTTTGTTAAACTTATTAAAGAACACTATTTCAAAATAATAATATACAAACTGGTAAAACGCACGTGTATTTTTTTAATAGCGGCACATAGAGAGAGTCGTGATGGAATTTCACTTGCAGGTGAAAATAATCACATCATATATTCCAGTAGTGTGTATACTGTATACATTATATGCTATGTATAATAATGATAAATTTCGCTCGTTATAAATAATATACCGTAGATGAAAATAGGTAGTTAGTACCTAATAATTAATATAAAAATAATTCATATTGTACACTTAATTTTAATTATTTTACGAAATTGAATTTATAGTTGTATATTTGATATACAAATTAAAGTGTTACCTACATTGTATTAACTATTAAGTGAATCAAAATAATTGCAAAAAGTACAAAGTTGATATCATTGTAGAATGCATATTTTTGTTTTAAAAAGTATCTCTATCATTTACGAATATTTACTTTAATTTTTTTAATGTGTACTATATAGCTTATACAAGAAAAAATGATTTATGATTTGTTTATTTTATTATTCTGCTTATTGAATATTGGTTATAAAATACATTAGTTTAAATATTAAATACACTAGCGTCACTAGGTCTACTAACCTAGGTATACAGTAGACATTGCACCCATACACAAAAAACAAATATACATTTTTTAAGGCGGAATTTTCAATGCATAATTAAACTATAGAACCATAAAATATGGAGGAATCGTTTAAGTCAAACTTCATTAATTTAACATGAAAACTAATTGAAATTAATATATTATTCATATTAATAATTAATACATATTAATAAAAATAAATTAGAAGTCACTGGTTCAAAAGGTACAATTCAATAACGTCGATAACTGTATTGAGTTATTTTCTGTAACTTGGTCTGCATATTATAAGAAATAATTATTATTTATAAATCATGAATTTTTTATCCATACTCAGCAATTATTATTAAAATATGTTATATATTGTAGGGTTTCTTACATTTAAATTTGTTTGTAATGATTATAAAGTATACTAGTTAAGATAAAAATTTTTTTTCATGAAATCGGGAAATTAAATTGAAAGTTTGAAGTATTGCATATTTTGTTATGTTCTACATCAAATAGCAAAGTAAGCAGGATTTTGCGTGATTATTTTCTCATACTTGCATACCATTCCTCCCAGTCCTCCCCCCCCCCATAATTTTATTCATATATTTAATAGCATTTTTCAGTATTTTAATTGCCTAATATTCATATGTATAGTTTGAACAGTTTTGGTGTACATAGGTCCCAATAAAACTAAAATTAATAACATAAACTTATAAGTTATACAACAGATATATAAGAAAAATTATTTATTATATGTTAGTTTAAATATTAAATAATAGTTTATTGCCTCGTTATAAATGATTGAACAGAATTAATGAAATATTTTACAATTTCGGTAGTTTAAACTTAAATCTATTTCATTAGATTTTCATATAAGCACCCGATAAATAAATCTTGCTACAAATACAAAGTAATAAAGAGTTTATACCTAATTTTTATTAAACAAAAATTATTTACATTTATTATTTTATTGATGATAATCAAAAATATTCAATGATCTTATAATTAATAACACATTTCTTTCAAAAATCATTATATTAATAGGTTATTATGTAACTAGGTACTATAACTTATGTTTTATGTATCTATAGTTATAAATACTTATAAACTTAAGTATTTATGAAAAATGGTAATGATTTTACAGATAATATATATATTATATTATTTATCATACTTATTGTTATTAATATTTGAATTTATAACTATAACTATGTTCATGGTTATTCAGAAATTAAAGATAACAAATTCAAAATGAGTGGCAAATAATATCAAAATATTCACACATTATTCTGTTGTTATCATAAATATTAAATATTAATAGTTTACCCAATATAACTTAAAATTACCAGGTAACAATAAATTATAATTATAATTATAAAAACTCATCATTTCTATCTAATAATAATAAATATTTAAAATTTACTGCCAATCCTGGTTTTTAAAAATACCTTCAAAGTTGTTTTTTTTTATAATGTAATTATTTATTTTATAACATTTGTATGAGTTTTTAAAAATACTGTGTTATATTATAGGTAATTAAAAAATTTGCCGACATAATAAAAACAATAAATCACCTACTATTTTTAAATTGAATATTATAAAACTTTATTTACAAGTTGATCACATTATTGTGTTAATTCTGTGATAGTAATTTCACGCAAATTATGAATTCCTATTGGTGTTTTCATTATGAGACTACACTGTGATGACGGATCTAAATTTCACAAGCTAAATCACATTTATGTGTAGAAAGCTGAACATGCCACCTATCAGACGAAATTCCAAAATAATTATAATATGAGAAAATAAAAATAAAACGTTTTTAAATTTAAATAAACACGTCAAAATAAATAACAAGATTTAGTTAAAAAATAACTTGTTATTATTTCATTGCTCCTATAATATACCTACTATATAGCTATTTATATCACTATATATAACAACACACTTTTGGTGATAATGAAAATAGATATTGAAATGAAAAAAATAATATCTATATTTAAGGACACACAAGTTATGAATATGTATAGAAATATATCATTATAATAAAAACTTAAGTAGTTAACTAGAAGATAAATAATCTGAATGATAAACTATAAGTAGATATATTAGATTTTTGATAAGCGGTGATGACTGATTTTGGTAATTTATAGTGAAATATGAAAAAAAGACTTAGGTATTGACAATGTTGCAATAATTCGAAACTTAATAATTATTAATATCAATATCAAAAAAAAAAAACATTTTATAACATTTAATTCTAAGTTATTTATTTTGTATAATATATTTAGTTACTTACTTTTACAATATAAATTAAGAAATTTGAATGAAATATAATGATAATGATAATAATCATTATTATTGTTATTATTACAGTTGCCCTATATTATTAAATACCAAGTGAAAGTGCGATTGGCGAAGGTTACTGCATCACCACAAACAAATTTTTAACAACAACGGTGCGACTGTTATTATTAAACTTTATACGCATACCAGTTAAATTGCAGTATAATATAATATTAATATATTACCTATTATTATTCATATAGACTTTATATAATACCAAACCTAGCTATTGTTAAAATTACAAAATACTGTTTAGTTTTAAATTACTTTTAAAAGATGTAAATGTCGATAGCACGTGCGTTCATAATAGAAAAATGTAACCCCCGAGATATTTTATAATATCTTATAACAACAGAAAAACGCAAGATGAAAATGATAATAATGGATGATGATTGTATATCGATTTCAAATGAACTGGCTGAATAAAAAAATCTAAATCGATTTTCAGAATGACCGCATGCTGGCGTGAAATAGATAGGTAATATATAGCTGATAGTATGATAGGATATTTCCGACCACCCAAAGACGATTATAATAAAATAAAATCAACGACTTTAGTTATTACAATCGCGGAGCAATTAAAACGGCTCGCTGGTCACAGCCGGAATTAATTGTTCTTGCCTCTGTCTCGGTTTATTATGAATTATTATATTATATTACAATATTCAACTCCGTTGTGTATTATATGAAATAACGGCAACCAAAATCCCTTAATGCGAAATCCTAATAACAATAATAATTAATACTTTTAACGGTTTAATGTTCAGCGTAGACACATGTTTTTGACCTTTTTTTTTAGTTCAACTGACATATTATATAATATCTAAACAATAATACAATACAAAATACATTATACATTTCTAATGGAATGATATAATAATTTCAGGTTACTTAGAATTTATCATTTACTAAATTTCGTTGGTTTTTTTCCAATAGATATTCATTATAAATGAAAAGTAAAGCAAATAAATTAAAGTAGGTAAATCCTTAAATGTTGAGTTACAATCATTTAAAAAGGAAATTTTTGTATTTCACAACAGTTAAAACCACTTAAGAGTGTTTGGTTAGTTTTTATAGTGGCCAAGGCTGTTCGGTTATGAAAGATAATTACTTAATATTTAAATTGTATTAATAATATTACTGTAAACTGGTACTAATATCATGTTATACGTTAATTTAGACATTTTAGATTATTTTGTTAATTAATAAATTTTACATCCAGAATTATCGCGACATCATGTGCTATAGTTTTTTTTTTACTTAACATGTATATATTATACTTATCCACGTGACGTAAATTTTAAATATATTATGATTGCATTTAAAAACTTAGAAAAATTAAAACTACTTATTTTATAAGTTATCAATCTACGTATTCACATTTAGTTTAAATTAATAACATTGAATTATATAAATGTGTATGTTTACTATGCTCACCTCAGTACACCGATAACTCTTATTTTTTACGAAAAACATTTTCTACTCTAAAATGTTATCATATTATGAATAATTTAATATAGATCTAGGAAAATGTAAGAACGCAAACACCTTTATTCACCTTTAAGTTTAGCAACACCGAAATGGAATGATTAAATTGATCTAATAAACTTGTGTCAAGACTGATTCGACTGACAGTTATAAAGTAAAGATAATACATTCTTACGTTTTTACAAAAATAATTTGTACATTTTATCAACATCTATCATCTTTTATTTCATCTAACCACTTGTGTCAATTATACCGGATTGTTATGGCAATCGCCAATCTATAACGTAATTTGCGATCAGATCTGAGGAATAACAAAGAAACCTGTTTTTCGTCTTTTCTTATAACATAATATTATTAATATTATAATACATTGAATGCTGTTAAACCTAAA